CTATTTTTTGTATTATTTTTTTTTATGAAAGATACATACTAAAATATTGTTGTAATTTTCATTTTTCTTGTAATAAAATAAAGTAAAAGAGTAAAAATGAGTTGAAATAGCTATATTATGCCTAAATTAAATATTTTACGCTAAAATATAAAAACTCTTGGGGAGGATCAAAAATCACATGTCTACACCGGATAAACGTATATCTTAGTAGATTTGGCCCGAAGAGACATTTAGTCTGATTGGATGTTGAATCTGAATTGGAGTATATGAACATACTTCCAATAGAAAGGGCCACATGTCCGAAAATGATACTTGAGATTTTTATTAGTGTATACAGGATAATCGATCCGAATATAATGCCAAATAGTAAGTCATTTACTAATAAAATGTGATAATATATCTGAGACATAATACAATAAGCCGTTAAGAAAGGCTTATATATTTAACTTGAATTGTTGTTGCTAGACCAAATATAAATCACGTGTTTGTTCAAAGTAAATTTTATTTCGGTGGCATATTTGCGTGTATTGATCTTAAAAAAGTTTCATTCTCTACTCGGTCATAAAACTCTCGTATGTTTTATTGTGGAATTTTTTAATCTGATATGAATTTCTCGATCCTTTTTGTGCACGGGTAGTATATGTATTTTTGAAGAACTAGTTCAACACTATTTGAAGTGTGTATGCTTGATGAGCAATGCAACTGACTAAATTGAGATAGTGATAAATGATGTTGGGATACTCTCAGGAAATCTATCTCCCAAGGCGATCGATTGTTTGTATCACTTCAACTACATATAGTCCCCTGGTGTATGAGAACTCGAACATGGAAATGATAATTTGGCAGTCCCGAGTTTAATAGTCCCCGATAGAATATCTAATTTTGATATTGATGGAATTTCAAATGTTCTGATTCCTAGAAAGGGAAACAAAGGGACGACACATAAGCTCTTTTTATCAAATAAAGTTTACTCTATCTAGGAACTACGGAGGTTCCGAAATATTATCGAGGATCGTGACATATTTTGATTTGAGCTAGTCTTACTAGCTTTAATGAGTTTTCGATTTAAAGTCTTATTGCCGGAATAATTTTCACAACTTCCTTTATGAATTTCTCGCATCACATATTTTGTTTGTCTAGGTCCTTGGCATTTAGATTTGGTACCCTTGAATATTCACTATTATAATTCTCCTTAAACAAGGCAGTATGGGATATGCGCATTTGGAGTTGTCGTGACACGTACTTGTTTTATTTTCAATCTAATTGATAATAGATTAAGGATCGCCCGAATAAGGGGTGACCTGATCTCGAGACTGTTTGACCATAAGATGGCATTTCTCAATAAGAGCTTAGAGTTATTTCCGAATTTAGTGATATCAGCAATAGATCTAAGACCAACGCATCTAGCTCGGCTTTCTCGGACAATATAGTTTTCTCGGATTTGATTGATCAAGAGTTAAGAATCACTTTTTAACTCAAAATTTTTACTTCGAGTCCCTGAGCTAATTCAGGCCATGTAATATATATGCTTCATACTTGTCTTCGTTAGTAATAAAACAACTTTTATGAATTTTTTAAATACTTCCCCGATAGGTGCATTAAGTATTATCCCTAACTTGGGACTTTTAATATTTGTGGACCTAATCATGTAGAAGGTCCAGATCCTAAGAGTTATCTGAAAGTAACATGTACTTCCTTTTCAGCTTTGGATAATGTGTTTGAGCTAAAAATCAACCATGAAATCTACTAAAACTATGATTTTATAGCCATATGTGGCTTGTAAATAATACCATATTCACTAATTTCGATTATCCATTTAGCTAGCCTTCCTGACAATTCATGTTTATGCAAAATATTACGTAATATAAATATTGTGACTACGGAAATTGGATGACATTGAAAATAAAGCCTTAGGTTTAGGTAGCTACTATTAATGTCACTTCTCCGAACGTAAATACCTAGTTTTTGTGTCAAAGAGTATTTTATAATAGATAGGAGATTGTGTACCTTTGTTTTCTTGAACTAATAATGTACTTACTAAGACCTTCGAGACAGCTCGGTATACCAACAATCATCCTGCTCCTCGGAGTTGTGAAAGAAATGGTGGGTTGGTGATTAGCTAGCGAGTCCGGATAATTCGACTTTGTGGACTGAACCTACCTTTCAAAGTTTGGTAACTTTATTTCTTTTATTTGACTCTCTTTCTTCTTTTGCTTGATCAAATTGCAGAGCGGGTCAATATTAAGCATATAAGTCATTATCTCCTGTGGTATACCTGTCATGCTGGCATAGGGGCAAGCAAAGCAATTTGTGTGAGTATGTAAAAATTCAATAAACTTACCTTTTAAGTTTAGGGTCGAGTCTCAACCAATGCCAACTTTCCCATATGGAAAGTCAATGATAGTTTCTAGTTCTTCAGCATTTAACCTCATGGCTTCTAATTCTTTCGTATTAATAAGTGTGCCAAAAAATATGTCTAATTTTCCATCTACGTTCAAGCTTCCTTTAATTGATGGCCCTGTGTAATTTTGCAATTTAGCAAGGTGATTTCTTACCTGTTTGGGAAAGTTCGGATCTTTTTTAGCCCTTGAAGCAAATCACATATCTCTTTGCTTGGACCTATTTTTCAAATTTTTGCGTTCAGATTCAGATCTCTTAGGAATCACCTCTATTTGGTCTTTGAACTTGTTTTCGACTTTCGATTGAAGCTCTGTATCTTCCTCTATTTGGAGTTTCGTATTACACGGGTTGTAAATTTTATTCCACAATTTCGGGAAATTTTGACGTTATTCTTCTAACCCCTTCGATCAGATTCGAAATCACCTCTATTTGGTTCTCGAACCTATTTTCGAACTTCCTATTAGTATCGATTCGGCTTATCGTGTCTTCTTCTGTTTGGAGCCTGGTGTTGTAGTGGTTATGCATATCATTCTCGTGGGACAGTTGAAAATTCCCGGAGGTGTTTTATCCATTTTGCTCCTTGATCTGTTTTTGTAAGGTTAAATATAAATTTTGCAAATCAAAATTAAATAGTGTATCTGAACCTCCTGTTTTGGAATTGTTTGACACATATCCGTTATAATCAATTTTGTATGGTATCAATATGTCTAGTACCGATGTCCATTCTCCATTTATCTCTGTTTGTTTCTTACCAATCATTATCATGGTTATTCTTCTATTTTCATTTTGCCTGGTAAAGCCATTTCCAACTAGGTTGTCCTCAACGGTATTGATTGGCAAATTTCGGTCATGCTGAATGTTTAAACTGAAAAAAGCGAAGATTAGCATAAATTGTTAGTATCTTGGGATGAACAAAAAATTTACTTGAGTTCTCGGCAGCAGAACCAATTGTTTAACCAAAAAAAATAACTTTCATGGTCAAAACAATTAATTTTATATGATGGGCCACAAGCAATTGATTCGATCCGAAATATATAAATTTTTGTTAATACAACATGATAGAGAAGTGAAAAATAAATTCATTGACAGATAATATAGTAAAAATAATTTTTATTGGATGATCCTTGATAGGATAATGAGCCGAACAGAGCTTGAAGAGCCGAACTATTGCAAATTTGGGAGCAAATTGCTATGATTACAATGTATAAAATTGTAGAGAAGAAAATTAGATGATTACAATGGTGGTAAAGTATGTCTATTTATATGATTAGATTTAGGTAACTATTCTTCTTGAAATATGGGTCCATTATGAGCACTTAATCAATCCATCTGTTACTTTTGGAAGACTTGTAACTACTGAGTAAATGCTGAAATTATCGTAACTAATGAGTTAATTCTGTTACTGATGAGTCAATGTCGTACATGTTGAGTCAATTCTGTACTCGTTCAGTCAATTTCATAATTGATTGCCTTGTTCTGCCCATTACAACATTTGTTGCATTTATTATATGTTACATAAGTAATTTGTAATTGATGGCGTAACGATGGTAAATCCCGTATAATCTGGGATTACTTGATTTTTTCCTCATTTGCAATTATGAGTTATTCTCCGTACCTGATTGGGCTATTCTATGATGATCAGTTCCGAGACTAATAGACATGTTCAGTCCCGAAGGTGTTTCACATATTTTTAATGTCATATTTTACTTTTCTTATCACTTCGCTGACACGTGTTGACATTTAATAGACCCACGTGGCGAGTCTATTTCACTTATACACTTTTGTTAATTATGTTAGAATTATTTTTATTTTTAATTAATATCATCTTTTTGCCTTTTAAGAAGTTAACCAAAAGTTTGGAATATAAAGGACAAAGCACACATATAACCATAGATTAGTTTACTATCTACCCACTGATATTTTATCAAGGCTTAACTATTGAAAAAGATGATAAAACCCTATAAAGTCCAAAAGATGCCTTTTTCTACTATTGCGTTGTACCTAAAATGGAGAAAAATATCTGGATTACTTTTTCCTCCCAAATTCGACACAAGTACAACATCTTCATTTAATAGTTAATTGTTTACTAGAGGGCTGGCTTGGGCACGTTACTTACTGCTTTGCTTGGAAACAAGCCATGGGAGATGGTTTTAATTTTAAAGTTTTGTTTACTGTTTATGATATGTTAATTGCTAAAGCGTGTGGAAAACTGTAGACCTAATTTAGGAAATGCATTATTCTTTTATTTTTATTTTCTTCCTCTCTAACTAATGGTTATAAGATATTTACAGGAACAAACTTATTATTAGGACCAACGATTAACCATTATGGAATTCAATTACTCTAAATCACTAGCTTAAAATAGTAGCAAAATATCACTTACGTTATACCTAGAAAATGGTGTAAAGACGATTAATGTTAACTAAGTTCTGACCTTTGTGCGTTTGTTTTTAAATGTTGCTAGTTGAAAAGACAAACTACAGTGGTATAAATGGAATAAATAAATCCTGATGTCTTAGCATAACACGACTTCCTTTACAATAAAATCTAATTAGGTAGCAGTTATTATGATGTAAAAAATCATGGACAATTATGTAAAATGAATAAAGTGTCAAAAAGAAAAACATAAGAATGGAGACAAGTAGAAACAATAGAGGTGGCAGGTAGAGAAGAAATATGACTAATTTTTCAACCAAGAAAGAGGCTGCATGGTCAACAATACAGTTTACCTGCAAGACTAATAACAAGGAAGAAACCTCTGTTTTCTCCTTTATGCTTCAAACATATTTCCAACTTTAGAAGCTTCAATTCACCAAAATCTTCCATACTTCTAATAACCAACAACAAGAAGTTTTTTGGCAAAGACAAGAAGTCCAAGAAATCTCCTTTTTAACGCTTGCCTTTTTTTCTCCCCATACAAATATTACACAGGGGATGATGTTTGGTGTGTTAGCTCATCTCCTCTTGTCATCTTCCCACATCTCTTCTGATTAACCAAACTTCCCTATCCCTCTCTAGACTTTAATTCTCTACCCTCTTTTCATCTCTTTCTACTATGGAACTTCCGGTTACAGCACCGGATTCCGGTGGCCGGAATAAAGTTTCTTATACCATAGAAACCATAAATCTTTCCTATGCACTCCCTAGTTTACATGATGAATTCAGTTGGATTTTTTGCTGCAACATTCCTAAGATACCCCAGAAGTTCATCATTAAGGATGTCAATTGTGAAGCAAGGCCAGGACAGATTACAGCTATTGCTGGTCCTAGTGGAGCTGGAAAAACAACACTGCTAGAAATTCTTGCAGGGAAAATATCACCAACAAAAGTCACTGGCCAGGTACGAGTTAATGGTCATCCTGTGAATGCCAAATGTTTTCGAAGATTATCAGGGTATGTCACCCAAGAAGATGCCCTGTTTCCTCTGCTTACAGTTGAAGAAACACTCATGTATAGTGCTCTTCTGAGGCTACCAGGTGGGGAAAAAGAGGCTGCAAATAGAGTTGGAGTGCTGATCAAGGAGCTTGGTTTGGAACATGTAGCTGGTTCCAGAGTTGGGGAAGGATCAAACAAGGGGATTTCAGGTGGTGAAAGGCGTAGGGTGTCGATTGGAGTTGAACTAGTACATGACCCTGCTGTGATTCTCATTGATGAACCAACTTCTGGGCTGGATTCAGCATCAGCACTTCATGTCATATCACTGCTTCAGCTGATGGTGGCTAATCAAGGCAAGACAATTGTCTTGACTATCCACCAACCCGGTTTTCGGATTCTTGAACTGTTTGATCGACTTGTTTTGCTGTCAAATGGTTGTGTTCTTCACAATGGTTCACTGAAATACCTAGAAGAGAGGATCAAGTTTTCTGGTCTCCAGATTCCACCCCACATCAATGTGCTTGAATTTGCCATTGATGTCACAGGCAGCATAGTAATTCAAACTTCTGAAACTCCCAATATCCATTTCTATCTCAAGGATCATGATGAAAAGAGGGAAAGCCTAAGGGTAGATGATGAGGGAATTACAATTTCCAACCACAATGACATTGTAGAGAAGTGTCCTTTCTACTCAAATTCTCACATTGAGGAGATCTTAATACTGGGAGGAAGATTTTGTAAGAACATATTCAGAACCAAGCAACTTTTTGCGACCAGAATAATACAAGCATTGGTAGCAGGCTTTATATTGGGGTCAATATTCATGAATGTTGATAACAACCTAGGGCAGGTTGCTTTTCAGACCAGACTAGGATTCTTCGCGTTCAGTCTAACATTCTTGCTCTCCTCCATGACAGAAGGCTTGCCCATTTTCCTGCAAGAGAGAAGAATCTTTATGAGGGAGACTTCAAGAGGAGCATACAGAGTATCCTCTTATGTTGTGGCTAACACCTTTGTCTTCCTTCCTTTCCTCTTAATGGTTGGGCTTCTATACACTGTCCCAGTTTACTGGCTCGTTGGTCTAAGGCGAAACATGGATGGGTTCCTCTACTTTGCTATGGTGGTTTGGATGGTTGTCTTAATGTCAAATTCTTTCACAGCATGTTTCAGTGCACTTGTGCCAAACTTCATCATGGGAACATCTATTATTGCTGGATTGATGGGGTCTTTCTTCCTGTTCTCGGGCTATTTCCTTTCGAAAAAGAAGATACCTAATTACTGGATCTTCATGCATTACTTAAGTCTGTTTAAATACCCATTTGAGTGCTTCTTGATAAATGAGTATGGAGGTAAGGGAGGTAAAAGATGTTTAGAAAGTGAAAGAGGAGAATGCAAGTTGTTTGCAAATGACTTCTTGAGACAGCAAGACCTCAAAGAATCACAGAAATGGAGCAACTTAGCTGTGATGCTGTGTTTCATCTTAGGTTACAGAGTCCTCTGTTACCTAATTTTATGGTACAGATGTTACAGAACCAGAAGTTAGGCTTTTCATTCTTTTGTCTTTTCCAGTTTTCTTTCGCTTCTTATTCAGATTATTAAATTGATTGGGAAAGTAGATGTAATTACACTGAAGAAGATGGATTAGTTATTGGGGTGAATAAATTCTTTCATGTTCAGATTTCATATGAAATAAAAGTTCTCCGATCCATGTTATAATTCGGTAAGAATGAGATCTTAAGGTAAACTTGGTGCAGGGGCAAACCTTACAGCATCAGGAGACTCATTTCTTTGTCATTCGTTATCCATGTTCCCAGTGCACTTCAGGCACAGGGAGAGTAGTGTATGTTGCTGGCGGACCATATGAGAACTACGGCAAGATAATAAATGATGTGCAAGGAGAAACCACTCAAGCCATTTGCAGTGAACCTACACACCAATACTTTAAATTCCGTGGAGGCTTTAGGCTTTACAAATCATTGCATTTCCAAGAATATTGTCTCTCGTGGTACAATTATGACATGTACTTAAATAGAAAAATATGGGAAAAGTCTCAGCGAATCATCGACTACCTAATCTAATTACACAAATTCGAGGTCATATTTACAGCTTAGAATACAATTGAAGTGAAAGGACCTCCTAATTCCACAAGCTAGAGAGCAAAATCTTACCAAGAAATAAACTCAATAGATAAAAGGATGAAAGACAAGGACATGGGTTTTACCATGCTGTGTTTAGCTCAGCTTTTTCGGTCATTTATTGATGTGAAAGTCATAGTTCCATGTGTCGTTGTTGTGTTCATAGATGAAGAGGAATCAACTTGTTTTCCTGAGCCAGCAGAGAGCGAGTCTGATGAGGTATTCTTGTTACTCCTGAGACTCAGTAGGTCTGATAACATGCCTGGTTCAGATATCTCTTCGTCATCCACTTCCACCTCACCAATCAGCAATCTCACAACAGTGGACATCGATGGCCGGCTCTTGGGCATGACTTGGGTGCATAAGAGAGACACCTTCAAGAATCTGCAAGCCTCATCAACATTGAAGTCGTCTCCCAATGACGTATCTACCAATTCAATGAGCTCCCCCTTCTTGTAAAGTTTCCATGCCTGCATATCAAGTTATCGTATGTAATACAACTCTCCATATATCTAATTTCTATTTGAGCTGGAGATGGCAATTATATTTCTTTTTCATTGGTTGGATAAATATTTGTTACATCAAATGTCAAAATTGCTATTTTCTTTTTGTTCTATTCTGAAGCAAGCGATTATGATTTCAAGATTATATTAATAAGCCTGCCTGCCTAAGAAAAACATATATGAACAACGGATTAGATGGCCTTCGGACCATAAGCTGCTTCAACCACGTTACTTTCCATTACAAGGTTAGGGTTGAAGGATGATGCCGGCAGGAGCCCAAATAAGAATTTTAAACCAATGACCAAATAATTTAACAACCTAGGTTGATCTTCCCATCATGTTCTATGAGCAGTTGAGAATCCAATGGCTATATAGCTCTCAAATTTAATAATGTATAGAAACAATTCTGTTCTTCTTAGATATTTTCATTCTGCAGGTAATGGGGATCCAACAGAAATAGAATAATGTTAAAAGCAACTCCATACCCGTTCAAGTAGATATTGTTGTTCAATAGGTAACCGCTTGTTTGTGTTGCATCTTCCACTAACGATTTCCAAAAGGAGAATCCCAAAACTGTATACATCTGCTTTCCGAGTCAACTGCCCTCTGATGGCATACTCAGGGGCCAAATAACCTCTACAGATAAATAAGCACGTTAGAATTTATACACAATGAAAAACAAGAAAATAATGCCATGCTGTCTCTAGTTTAGCTTAATGTATAATAAGACCATCAATAGCCTTTCTGCATTTTCATTTACAACATATCAAGATCAAATATAGAGCTGGATGCGAACTGAAGAAACAAGTAAACAAAAGAAATAGCCCAGTTATAAACAGGAAAAAAGGGAGAGCCTATGAGATAGTCAACTACACCACCTGAACGGGAGTGGAACAGACTTAAAAGAGATCAAGGCATTGTGTCTCAAGGCAATGGCAAAAGCTCTTCTACATTCTCTTTATTGCAATTTAATCTACTAACACCACATATTGTGTCATTAACTCCCCACTACTGCTAAATTTGACAATAAAGTTAACACTTTGGTGAAAATATAGTCACTAAGACATACTTATCAAAGAAAAAAGTGATCGCTACATAATTTAAACATCTGCCAATCTGCCTGTACTTCAAATTTACTTTGTTACATCACTCTAACATTACAATTGTTTTGACTAGCCTTGACGGTAAAAGTGCTATGGCTTACAGTACAATTCTTTGGCAGTAATATGCTCAAATTTCAAGATGGAGCATTCCTCAATTTAGGATGATCAAGTATTATGAAGAAGGACAAGATGCTTTGACATTGCGAAATTAAATTAAACATCCCATGATAAATGTGAAGAATCAGATTGATATAAATACAATATTACATTGATATTTCGCTCATTATAATCCCAGCTTTATAATCTAAATATAATTTGTCTGCTCATCAATTGATCCAATGACCGTCCAAATATAAGTCTGTCTATCCACTACAAAGAAGACAAGAAACTCTAGCCTGATATACCTAGGAGACTACTTAGCACTCTTATATCTCAAATTGATCACACCCAACTCCAGGCATTGCACATTCCTAGAGTAACTTACCATCTTGAGTTCAACCAGAGCTGCAAAGTATGAAGATAATGACGCCATTCACAGTAAGGGAACTATCCTGGATTAAGCAAACACTATACAACCTCAGCTATAACTCCTGGAAAAAGAGCAGTGCAAATGTCAAATGCGACTTAAAACTCATTGCTCTATTTCAGAGAATAAAGGCAAGGAAAATTATAAAGGACAAGATAAGGAAAGAAAGACTATCAGATTAGCGACATGCTTGACCTCTCCAAGATCCAGAGTAGAACTAGGAAATGCAGAAAGAAGTAATGTGAAGGTCAAACTAGAAAGTCCACCTCCTATAATTTAGACAAGGGAAATAGTATTCCTAGACTTGGAAGCTCATTTGTCGAATATAAAGCTAAAAATGGGAGCACTATGAATAGGAAAAAGATTATACCAATGAGTGTGAACAACAAAAAGTAGTAAACCACCACTCTCATGGTTCTTCTAAACACAACTGGAAGAACCGTCACCCAGACTAGAGGATAGAAGAGGACGAAGATGAGTGAATGGGGATGCCAATCTTATACAGAAAATACCGCTATCTAAAGTAACCTTGCAGGGGGCTGCGTATAGCATTCTAAGATCTCAATACGAGAAAGAAATCAGACTTATAACCTCACTGCAGTGGCTTGTAGACTTGCTTTGCTGCGGAAAGCTCAAGTGAAAACCTATTAGAACTGTGGACCTCACCCGTCTACTACTCGACCTTAAGTAACTACAGTAAATTCAAAAATAAACTTCCACAGACTCAAAGTGTGAAATAGGTAATTTTCCAGATCTGGTGTTGGTTTCTGAATGCACACTTTTTAACCTTTCTATGCCAAAAGGTATTGAAGTATTGGTAAGATACCACATCAAATATTAAAGATGCCACTCTAGCCAAGCCAGACCCCCCTCCGCCTTACACCGTCAAATTAGATCCAACTAAGTGAGACTCTATTTATTTTATTTTTATTTTTTTGATAAGGTAAGATTTTATTGATAAAGTACCAAGATGGTACAAACTAGTCACTCAGACAGAAGCCAAAAAGAAGCAAATTACTACATCCTTCTTCCTAATAAATCCAGAAAATTCATATACTGATCAAGATTCACTAGCAGACTGCTATTACACCAAAAGTAAAGATTACGTGAACATCTATTTTTAGTTCTAAAAATATGTTCCTTTTTCCCCTCAAGCCATGCCCTATTCCACTCGAGCCAAATAGTCCAAAAGATACAAAGAGAACTAGTTTTCCATATCAGCTTGATCTCTCTAGGTACCACTTGATACTGCCAGCTTAGCATTAAAACCTTAACAGACTTTGGTATCTATTTATTGTCCATCAAGAAAATATCACATTAGACAAGTTGATCTTGTATATCCCCCGAGAGATCCTGAAGATTATGTAAAGAGCAGTATCAAAGGAAGCAATAGCTTGAATAAAAGCCATATAAAATGTCTAGTGAGAAAATGTAAGCTCGCCAAATAAAAATATTGTTACTAGTAGTTATCATCTTGTTCTTTGGGAGTTCTTACCTCAGAACATTCCCCATCGTTTCTGAATGGCATATTCAATCTAATTCATAAACCAAACCAAGGGATACACCAAAAGCATTTTGTTTAAGAAAATATAAAAGCATAGCTGTAAACTTACAGAGTTCCTGCCACACGAGTGCTAACATGGGTCATATCAGCTGGAATAAGCTTAGCAAGACCAAAATCTGAGATCTTTGGGGTCAGGTCTCTGTCGAGAAGGATGTTACTTGCTTTAATGTCTCTATGAACTATATAAGGTTGGACTTCTTCATGGAGGAATGCAAGTCCTCGTGCAACACCAATGCATATTTTAGTTCGTGTTTTCCAACTAAACTGGAGGCTACTATGGGCACCACCTGTGAGTAAGCAATATTTACTATCCATGCCACAAGTACAAACCAGAGAAAAGGAAAAAGAAAAAGTTAAAAAATAACAATGACAAAGGACTTCAACTGACCAAGCAGAGTTTGAGCAAGACTATTATTTTCCAGGTAGCCATACACCAATATTCTATGATCCCCTTCCGCACAACAGCCATACAACTTCACCAGGTTTTCATGTTCTATACTTGAGATCACCTTTATTTCTGTCAAAAACTCCCTTACACCTTGTTTCGATTCAACAGAAAGTACCTTAATAGCAGCCAATTTTCCATCTTTTAGCCTCCCCTAACAATTAGAATATAAAGTTAGCTTACTAACTGAATGCAATTGCAAAACCTGAAGATCTTTTCGTAGAGAATAAAATACCTTGTAGACAGAACCAAACCCTCCTTTGCCTATTTTGTTTACAGGGCAAAAATCTTCAGTTGCAGCCTGCAATTCCTTGTAGTGATACACCCTTGCATTCTCAATGGTTGAAATTTCTGCAAAAATTCAAAATCTAGTGAGGAATCTTAACATGTATTGGATGAAAAAACAACTAGAATCATTTTTTAATGAAAATGGTGTTTGGGCCAGCTTGCTTGCACCTCGACTTTTCCACCGGGTACCTCCCACCAGCATAGGTACCAGGTAACTCTGCCAACCAAGGCGTAGGCAGATCGGAAGAAATCACCTAGTATTATTTTGCCTCCACTCAGATTTGAACCTAAAACCTCATGGTTCTCCTCCCACTTTATTGATCACTACTTGAATC